AAACCAGAATACACAGTGGATATGGTTAAGGACAAAGAAGGGGGAGATGGAAGCAGGGAATTTTTCACTACTAATAGGGAGTATTTGCCTAGAAACTTCACTCACCATCATGTCTTGCTTCTGATAGGAGAAAATGCAAACTGTTAATCAAGGATTTGCAACTCAACTCTTTAAAAAAAAAAACAAAACACCTTCAACTAAAAAGAATGGGAGCATCTTTTAAGAAAGAGTAAGTCCATGTTGAAATGTTTGCATTGAGGAAACCTTATGCTATTTAACCATTAGAGGAAAAATAATAAGGAATTCAGGTTACTCTTTGTTTCACAGGAACACAGCAGAAATTTGCTTCTCTGCTTGAAGAACTTTTAAGCAGGGTACAGAAACTGCATCTTCACTTGGGATATAAAGTTCTCCTGAGAAGCAAAAAGTAAAAATAAAAAAAATCCTGTACACCCTTTTCCTTTTGTTACTAATATATTCTAAAGTTTCTATCATCTTCTCTTTATCAGTGTGCTCGACAAAAATTTCCTGCTTCCCTCCTGCCAACCCAACTTTCTCATCCAGCCTCTGATCTTGCCTACCTCACACTTGTCTCTCTTGTTCTTGTTTCCCTGACGTCTCTTTGTCCTGTTCTGAAGAGGAAAGAAAGGTTTCTAACTAAAAAACATACATAGAAATACAAGAAACAAGCAAATATCTGTTTTTAGTATTTACTCAAAAGTGGTTTAAACAATAGCTTAATTAATAACTTTATTGGCTTTTGGATACACCATTTATTTTGTTTGTATTAAACAAATTTCTAATATTGGTAACCTTTTTGTCCTGAACAGTTACAAAACTGCAAAACGTATTATTTGTTTAAAGTAACTGACCACCTTGAAACAGCAGCCCTTTGCTGAAGTCTGCTCAATTATTTGTAGGTGTAAAATCACTTTCCATTTCTATTGCAGAGGATATTTAGATGCCAAAGAGAGTTTTGAGGTCAGCCAGGGTGAGCTTCGAGGTTTCCCCTTTGCCTGACAGCACCTGCTGAGCAAGCCCCTTCTTCCTGGTCTGGAGTTGCACAATCTTTTCTTCTACTGTTCCTTCACAGACAAACCTGGAAATACAAAGCCTTATCACCTCAACTGCTAGGAAAAAGTCACAGTTTATATAACACTGACAGTTTTCCAAGTAAATTTCCAAAGGTTTGCCTCACTTAAATATTAACAGTCTATTATGTGACTGACAGAATATACCTGACCAATGAAAATAACCGTTCTCACATACAGATATCATCACATTTCAAATAAAAGTCTGATGCACTTTAGGCCTCAACTCCAACTGTCTAAAGCAACAGTAATTTGATGATAAATTCCTATAACGACTGTTAAATAACAGATTTCACCTATTATACTAAAAGTATTGTTACTTTCATTGTTAAACACAAATTGCTATCTTGGATTTCAGGTGCTTTCAATTTGTGAATTTAGAGTAGCTATGCTAACTTTTCAGTATTTAACATTACAGATGTTTTTTCTAAAGGCCAACCTTGCCACTTGCTACAAATACTCTATATTTTTACATTATTTCTATTTGAAAGGTCCATGCTAGGGCACCACAGTGGCTACCTCTGGAATGACAATGAAAAAGACAGTAAGCACTCAAAAGTGCTTATCACCATGAGATTCCCAACCATTCTACAATGCTTAGTTATCCCAACCCCGGGCAGCTCTAAATTACTACGCTTCATTCTTTAAGACAGATATACTCAGGGAAGGTAGGGAAAAAGATGTGGATATTCCCAAGCAAAAGAAATGCAAGACCATTTCTGCCCCAAACTCTTTTTTTTTTTTTTTTTTTTTTTTTTTTTTTAATTATTTAGCACTATTAACTACTAAGACCAAGAAGTTTGACATTTAATAGCCAGAAGAAACATGCCTCTTTCTGTATTGGCACTCAACCCACAATCCCACTATTAGACGTTGTGCCTAGCCTCAGGTAAGGAAACAAAGCCCAGATGAAGGTCATTTCACAAACTAAAGCAAGACAAGATAATACACAAGCAGCCATAGCTTCATTTACTGCTAAGGCAAGTCCTGACCTGTGTATTACAACATCCTTCTTCTGCCCCACTCGGTAAATGCGGTCACATGCCTGGTCCTCCAGAGCAGGATTCCTGCAAGAGAAGAAAACAGCTCACATAAACCCCTAGTATATGTTCAGGACCAACTGAAGTATCAATACCTTTGTGCTCATCTAATTTGCCTACCTCCAGAACATCCTGTTTTCCTCCTCTGTAGAACTACAAACTACCTCCCAAGCTACCTTAGATTTACTAGCTTGATCACCAATATTCACCCCAACCATATTTCCCTCGCCTTGAGTAGTAACCTGCTAAAACACCAAACAAAATCATCTATATGAATTAGACTACTGTTCTGTACAGACTTGTATTTCTGACCAATAATTAACGCTGCCAGAAAGCCAAGTAGCTAGTGAGGAAAGAGGAGAGTGAAGC